ACTGCAGATTTTTCTGGTTGCTGTAGTCTGCAGTGTCTTTCGTGTTCTTTTATCCTGGTAACAAAACGTTAGGAAACAACACTTCCAGAACACGGCCACACAGCCCAGAAGACCCACACCAGCCATCGTATGCCGGCCGTGAAAGCCTTCGACAATACATTAAGTTCTCTGAGTTGGTGGTGAGCAGGATTTCTTTATTTTCTAGACAACAAGAATTACCAGCTATTACAGTGATTCACTTCTTACTGAAGCCAAAATGGCATCTCTGGTAGTAAAAAATGAAAATACCAAAGTTATGATACATTGCATCAACTCAGAAATCCCATTACATTTGATAGACCTTTCTTCTAACAATGAAGTTTCTTTAGGAGTTGAGACAAAATTAACAGTAATTTGTCAATACACTATACACATTAGATATACATCTGATCTGAGCTGTTTTACTTTGCTAATAGCTGGGCAGGCACACTAGAAAATAGTATTTATACCTACAATCAAAATCCATTCAACTGAAGAGGACTTATGCTTACAGACAGACAGAATGCACTGGATATGCAGATATTTGATTTTTGACCACAGTACAACATTTACTTGTCAGAAGATCTACACTTATTTGCAGAACTAGCAATGGAGATGTCAGAAAGAATTGAAATATCTCTTACCTGTGATAAAAAGTATTTCCACTGCAATGTCACTGACAGTTGTGCTTCGAGTTGTAGATAGATCATCATTGCCAATAAAACAAACATTGTAAGGTACAGTTACAGCAACATAAAACGTTGCTAATAATATAAGCCAGTCCCAGCCAGCTTTAAAAGTGCTAAAATGCAAAAGTATGAATTTGGACTTTTTTGCATCTGAAACTTTGTATTCTGGAAATGCTGGTTTATCTACAAAAACATTCTGGAAAAAAAAAGAGAGAGAGAAAGATGATTTAGACCAATCTGAGGAACATTGGCTGAGTATTTATGAGAATCATTTTAGCAGCCTTAAGTTGTTTTGAAATCTTTTCTATCCCCCCAAGTCTATATTTTGGATACATTTGACCTGATATTCATTTAATCCTCCTTTCATGGTTTATATTAATGCAGAGGTTCTCAATTTTTTTCAAAGTATCATGACTTCTAAGGTGAATTTATGCAGCTTTCCCCCTTAATAAAATCAAGAATTTCACTGGGTTTAGAGTTGGACAAGAAATACTTACTTTTCACAGTTGAAATATAATTTGTATATCATGATAGAACTTTGCAACCTTATGAAATTACAACTTTATGAAATAAAACATGTAATTGAAAATAAGTGGGAAAACAATAATTTTTAGTAGGAAGGATGAGCTTGCTTACTTTTGCATGATTTCTGAAATCTGGGTTTTATTTTGAAGACAGCTACTCTCATTCAACAAAGTTGGGGTTGGGGGGAGAGGAGTGTTTCCATGCCTGAAATCTGCTTCTCTTAAAAGCTACTTAAAATGCTGCAACTGGCAAAACACTGGCAGGCTATATGTTACTTCTGGTGCTGTCTCTTAGCACAGCTTCAATGAGATAATAGATATAACCCATCTGCTCTTTGCCTTCCAGCTTATTGTTGAAAATCTTTCTTTCCATTCTTTCAATTTCAGTTTCTTCCTTCCCCCTTCCTAATTTTCCCTGCAGGACAAGAGTCAGAGTTTTGCATAGAAGCCATGTGTTTAACCTCCCTACCAACCCCCCCAGCTTTATAGAGGACTCTGGAACCATCACTTTTTTTTTTTTTTCTGCATTTAGCACACTTTTGCATCAATCTGATAAGCCTGCTTGGAGTGAAGTTGCAAGGAAGGACACTCTCTAGCGACCATTCATTGTCTCATGGCCTCCTGGGATCCACAACCTATATGCTGTATTAATGTATTGTACTAAAATTGTATTCTCAACAGAATGAAAGGAAATATGAAAAGAAAAATTATTATCATAAAGAGACAGAGAAACTCAAAAGACAGTGAAAGCCCTAAATAAAATGATATACTGTTGCTTCTGGAATCAACAATGACTGATGCAAATTGGCGTTTCAAGTCTGGATACATCCATCTGTGAAGATCCATTACAAACAGTCCTTTTAAACCAAATGTCTTATCATTTCTGAGCTTATATGCCCATCCCAGATATTAAAATAGAATGTTAGAATCCAGAAGTAAAGCAGGGTAGTGTGTGAATCTATTTATTTATTCAATATAGCCTAGTCATATCAGGTTATACTCAAATGTATAAAATGGAACTGTTGAAACCAAGTTTCATTGATTTCATTCAATCTTCAATGACTAAATCTGTCTTTGTTTTTAGCCAGAATAGCATTTTAGAACTCTGTCAGAGTATATATTAGGCTTAAACACAGTCTCGCTAGGACAGGTACTTTTAAATCTCATTAAAATTCAATGCAAAGATTGAATATATACTTATATTTTATTATTATTTCTCATATGATTATTTTAATAAATGTCTGATTTTTATTACTTAAAAACACTATTCATATTTGCATAATTAAATTAAAATTCAGAAATTAGTAAAACATCATTGAAAACTCACTCCTAATATATTTAATTTAATTAATTTATTTATATATCAAATTTGTCACCACCCATCTCGTTAAAAAGCGACTCTGCGATTAAAAGTGATATTATACACAATTCTTAAGGGGGAGAAGACACAGTTCCTATTTGGATAAAATCAGTCCCAACAACTATAGCTGCAAACATCTTCTACTGACTGGGATCTTCTGCTACTTCTATTATGCAAATTCTTCCTTATAAGTAAGATATAATCACTCCATGGGGATTAAACAAGGATGTAATCTAGCCTCATCTTTAAAAATTCTTTATATTAAGACAATAATTAACATCTTGATCTCCCCCAGTTTTCAACTACTCAGATTGGCAAATATTCAAATTGGCAAATAATAAAAAAAATCAGCCTGCTATTATGTGCACAGAATACTCATATAAATTCAATATTCACTTATGCCAGTAGAGTTGAAGGTAGCGCTTAGGGCTTTTGTCTCCTACCCTAGCCAAAGAGCTAACTATCAGCTAGCAGAAGATAGAGAATCTGCTCTTCTGCAAGGGAGTGAAATCATTTAGCTGAAAATAAATAAGAATTCCATAGAGTAGGTCAAACTCTATGGAAGCTGCTTTTCAGGCATCAATCATGGAGGTAGCTGAAAATAGCCATTAAGAAGTGGGAATGCAACAACAAAGTAATTTGTTTACCAGAAGATATAGTTAAACGTGCAGCCAATTCCCCAAATATAGGAAGTTGCCTTCCAAGTGGTATCAGGGCTAAATAGAAGAGTGTTTAAGCAAAGAGTGCATTTTTTAGCCTTAGTTGGCAGCTGTAGTAACTTAGAGATGAAGGTGATGAACATCTTAGAGCTGAGACTATTGTGCTAAATACATGCAAATCAGTGTCTGTCTTCTACTTACCTAAATACATCTATTTTAGTTCTACAGGAAAATTGTCTCAATGTCTAGGTTTTATTTACAACATCAGTGATTTGACCAAGAATCTTACTATCAATTAAGGTGAGACTGCATGTAAAAGCAGTCTATGTGTAACTGTGCTGAAAAAATTATTCTAAATACTATTGCTCTGTTCTGTTCAAAATACACATAAATCTTTGTAAAACCATAACTTATTAACTTGATTGCCCAAATTTTATCATTAATAAATAAAAATAGAATTTTTGTGCCTGGCAAACTTCATACAATGATGTGATCAAAGACAAATGTCATTACCTTTAAAGCCCTATGGCATGGGACCAGGTTATCTGAGGGACCATCTCATCCCTGTTACATTGACCCATCCCACCCGGGCAGGCAGGAAAGGTATCTTACAGACCCCATCAATTAAATAATGTTGCTTGGTGGGTCCCAGGAAGAGAGCTTTCTCTACCATTGTTCCCGCCCTATGGAACACTGTCCCCCCAGAGGTGAGGCAGGCCTCCACTTTCCTGGCCTTCCGGAAAGGCATGAAGACCTGGCTCTGCTAGCTCGTATGGGGTTCAAGGATGGGTAACCAACCCTGGGGTTGGTTAGCACCCTGAAGATACTCCCAGAGGTCGATAATTTATTTATACCATCTGTCCCTTGGATTATATTATTTATTTCTGATTACTGTTTTTATTGTATTTTAATTGGTTTTTATTCTTATTGTTCAAGGATGGGTAACCAACCCTGGGGTTGGTTAGCACCCTGAAGATACTCCCAGAGGTCGATAATTTATTTATACCATCTGTCCCTTGGATTATATTATTTATTTCTGATTACTGTTTTTATTGTATTTTAATTGGTTTTTATTCTTATTTTATTGTAAACCGCCTAGAATTGCTCGCTGAGTGAGATGGGTGGTGACTAAATTTGAAATATAAATAAATGCATGCATGCATGCATACATACATACAAACATACATACAAATGTAAAAGGGACAGTGCAGGGGGCCAAGACAAATCATTTCCACTTCTGCCATCTGATTGGGGCAGAGATTTGGGCAAATGGAATATTATGATATTTGCTCATTAAAGTCATTGTTACCTTCTATTCTACATTACTTAGAATGTTGCATTCAGTTTTGGGAACCACATTTTAGAAAGGACACTGACGGACTACAGAGTTTCCAGAGGATTGCAATCAAGCTAATAAGAGGCCTGGAAGGAAAAAAAAAACTTATGAGGAATGTATTAGGTATGTTTACCCTGCAGAAAAGAATACTCCAGAGAGTCACGACAGTTGTCTTCAAAGATCTGAAGGAATGTCATGTAAAAGATGGGGCAGACTTCTTCAGTGTGGTTCCAGAAGGCAAACAAAAAATTGTGGGCTTAAATGATCAGGAAGCAGGATTTCAGCTGAACATCATAAAGTATGTCTTAATGGTAGGAGCTGTTCAACATGGAACAGGCTGCCGTGAGAGACGGTAGACTCTCCTTCTCGTTAAGAATTTAAGCAGAAACTGGCTGGCCACCTGCTGGGGATCCTGTGCTAGTATATTTCTGCATAGAGTAAGGGGTTGGACTAGCAGGTTTCCAAAATTTCCAACTTTTACATTCTGATTCTGTGAAATAAATATTGGCCCCCATTTGCCCAAATCTCTTAAGCCGACTAGCTCTTTCAATGATGTTCACTATCAAGTTAATCCCAATATTTTCCAGTAGAGAGGCCTTAAGTCAGTGTTGTCCAAACTTGGCCACTTTAAGATGAGTGCGCTTCAACTCCCAGAATTCCCCCGCCCTCCTCGCCGGCCGTGGGGGTGTCGGGGGTGGTATGGGACCGCTTTTAATTTGGCGAAGTTTGGTAAAAAATGCTCTAAGTCCT